GTTTTGAAATGGTTAATCAGTGAGACAGTGACAGTTTTGTCAGTGTCTGCACTAAGATCTGGGGTAGAACAGGTCTTCAGCAACCATGCTTGCCGTAAAAGGTGACTGTGCTTGTCAGGAGGTGACTAACGGGATCGAGTGGTTAGGCTCGCTGACTTGGTTGATGCATGTCATCGTATCCCAATTACGTGAATCGATGCTCATGATGTCAATCAATGGATTGTCTGGTCGAGACTCGATTATTTACAGACCGCCGTCAAATAGCTGGAATATTGCTGAGTGCGGCGTTAAACAACAAATGAACAAACTAACCAGAGTTTTGTTGAACAGATCCAGTTGTTTCCCCCACTCCTCAACGCGAGGTTTGATGGGGCCGACATTACGAGAGCTGGCAATGGTAGCAACGTTGATGTTGCTGTCGTCAAGTAGTTGCTGGATGTCATCTGTCCCGCCCAGGATATACACGTCTTTGGAGTCCTTGTGAGGCAGCACCACAAACTCTGTGGACTTCCATGAATCCTCAACCTACAACAGAGGTGTCATGTAGACTACAACATACAGGTGTCATGTAGGTGACTACAACAGAGGTGTCATGTAGACTACAACATACAGGTGTCATGTAGGTGACTACAACATACAGGTGTCATATAGACTAAAACATACAGGTGTCATGTAGACTACAACATACAGGTGTCATGTAGACTACAACATACAGGTGTCATGTAGGAGACTACTACATACAGGTGTCATGTAGACTACAACATACAGGTGTCATGTAGGCGACTACAATATACAGGTGTCATGTAGACTACAACATACAGGTGTCATGTAGGTGACTACAACATACAGGTGTCATGTACGTGAGTACAATATACAGGTGTCATGTAGACTACAACATGCAGGTGTCATGTAGGTGACTACAACATACAGGTGTCATGTAGGTGACTACTACATACAGGTGTTATGTAGGTGACTACAATATACAGGTGTCATGTAGACTACAACATACAGGTGTCATGTAGACTACAACATACAGGTGTCATGTAGGTGACTACAACATACAGGTGTCATGTAGGTGAGTACAATATACAGGTGTCATGTAGACTACAACATACAGGTGTCATGTAGGTGACTACAACATACATAGTTCTCGTTAGATACCATTTTTACGAAACGAGTGGACTTTCTATGGTATATCTGACCGGGCAAACCATCTGAAAACAATCTGTAGCTGTATACAGCCATGAACATAGGGAACACACAGACTATTGCAGGAGTATTTTTGCAATACTGCTTTTATGAGAAGGGATTTCAACTGTGTATTACTTTTTGCTGAAGTTTTAACATTCATCATTTTTCAAATGACATGATATGATAAAGAAATTATTACATAAGACATGTATGATTCCTTACTGTAAATGTGGCAGTGTTGGATATACATGTATATATACATATATGTATGTATACTTTCTCTATTTTACATATGTTTCTATATTGTATTGAAATGATGTAGAAACCTTTTATTGTGTTGCATTGAATTGAATAAACCGGTACAGCTGCTGTACTCTACAGCACTGCCTTCAGCAGAAGAACAACTGTATCTCTGTGTGGAGTTTTCTCTCAGTCAACTTCTATTTGTTGTGGGGTAGGGAAGATAGCTTGGGTCGGTCCTTTGTTTAAGTCAGCTTACACCTGATTGGCCTTGTTTCAAATACTCACCTAATACTCAGCATTCAACCAGCACACCAGCCACCACACCTTGACTTCACACAGCTATCACTTGCTTGGTGGTCATGTTTCATCTCAGAGATCGTCCTTACAGGTTGGTTATGTATTTTATATGTATTGTAGGCAATGTACTTGTATAGCTTTGTGTGTTCTTTTACAGTGTCACAATATTTTAATATTTATCTAAATATTCAATATATACGGTCATGTAAATGCAGCCATTTAAATGTTTTAGCTAGGTCAGTAAGCCCCAGTTTTACCCACAGGGTATGGTTATATTTTTGTGTATTAATGCAAATAATAATTATGTATATCATATCATTATGCATGTCCATGAATACATATGTATACATAGTTATTGTAACTAATAACCCATCCTTGGAAAGATTTGATAAATATATGAGTTCAGTCTATTATACCATGACGATGTCCGAGTAATGCTGTGAGTGACTAAACTGATTGCATGACGTGATGTATCCTTACATATTTATGTACATGTGTATCTATTTTGAGCTATACTCAACAACAAAAGTTCCTGTGACACCAATATTTTAGTGTATTTTTCAAACAAGTAAAGTTCAATATTGTAGTACATGTATGGAATCAAGTCACAAAATCGCAACTGCTACTGAAAAACATGCATTCTTTGCAAAAGTTGACTTTTATGCAAGCCCCATGCATTTCACTACCCAAGAATGGGTATAAAAATATGTGCGTTAATGGGATTCCATATGCATTGTTTAGCATCGTGCTGACAACAGCTACTCAGAAAAACAACAAAATTATGCAATTATTCAACATTACGCAATGCCACGCCTGTCCGAAAATGAGCGTCTGCGAGCCATAAGTATGCTTGAAGCAGGATCGAGTCAACGTGATGTTGCAAGACAATTTAACGTTTATTTAACACCATTTGGTGTTTATGGCAACATTGGCAACAGACGAATGCAGTCAGAGACCATCCTCAGAGTGGCAGGCCACGTGTAACCAATAATCGACAAGACAACTGGATTCGAACAACACACCTACGAAATCGATTCCAGCCAGCAACAGTGACTGCAAGAATCATCCCTGGCCTTCGACGAATATCTTCACAAACCATACGTCGCCGCCTCAGATGTGCAGGGATTGTCGCCAGAAGACCCACCAGACGTCCCATTTTGACAGGAAACCTACGTCAAGCACATCTACAGTGGTGCAGACAGCGTCTATGCTGGAGACAAGTGGGGACAAGTTCTATTCACTGACGAGTCACAGTGATGGACAGATTTGAGTGTATCGACGTCGAGGTGAACGTTACGTCAATCATTGTGTCATGGAAGAAGATCGGTTCGGGGGCGGCAGCGTTATGGTATGGGGTGGGATTACAGCAAGACAGAGGGCCCATTAGATAGTGGAAGAGGGAAATCTCAATGGACGGCACTACCGCGACAAGATCATCGGCCCTGTTGTTCTACCGTTTTTGCGTTGTCATGGCCCAGGCATTACCTTTCAACATGACAACGCCCGGCCTCATATTGCTCGATTGTTCAGGATTCTCTTCAACAGAACAACGTGAATGTCATCCCTTGGCCGGCTCGCCCCCCTGATCTATCACCAATCGAGCACATGTGGGATGAGATGGATTGGCGCCTTCGACGTCAACCACGTGTTCCACAGACACTCCAGGAACTTTGAAACATGCTCCAGCAGATATGGACAGATATCCCACAGGACTTTGTGTGACGCCTGGTCCATTCCATGAGACGAAGATGTGTAGCTTTCATCGCAACCAGAGGTGGACACACACGCTATTGATTTGTAAATTGACATTTTGGCATGTTCATGATTTTTATGAAATCACACATTTTCTGAAGTAAGTATGGGAAATTCAGCCATTTGAACACTTACAGGAGTCTTTTATCTGTTGCAAACCGAAATTTGTTTCAGATTTGGTAAAAAACATAACTTTGCATTAAATCTTATTCAATGTCACAGGAACTTTTGTTGTTCATAATATATGTTTCAGGGCATTTGTTCTGACTGTCTACAATAAAACCTCTGTACAAACGACCTGTTATTTCTGCACACCCCCAGTCACATAAATATTATATACATGTATTAGGAATGGCTCAGATAATACATTGTCTATTCCAAATATGTGATATTGTTCGTATGGAAACACACCTAGTTAATAATCAGTATTTCTGGAGATGACGGTCTAGCAAGAGTAACAAGAGAATAAAAACACCTTAGATTACACTCAATACAAAAACATCTACAAATACTTCTATTTCAACTTTTATCTAAACCTTGACACAGCCCCAATTCTAAAAAAAGAATACAACAACAAACCTTTTTCAAAATGGCTTCCAGACTGGCCTCGGAGGAAGCTTGTCCTGAGATCTCCTGCAAAGCCTCACTGTGCTTGAAGGCGTTGATGTCGGACAGTTTGCCGAGGGTGAGCGGATCTTCGGGGGTAAACTGACAGTCGAGAGCCTCCTGGATGAGATCCCAGTGCCGTGGCTTCAGGGTCGGGTTCCGCAGATCTGTGATCACAGGCAACTGCACAAACCACAACATGACTTTAGCGTGATGGACAGATCAATCAGTAGGTTGGGATCAGGTAGAGAGGGTGTATGCTAAATTTTATTTTATTTCTTTAGTAAGTTACAAATAAAAGTAAACTTGATTATAATGTACCAAATGTCCTATTTGTGGCCACATCCCCTGCAGCTCACAGTATGGAGAGATGGGCCAGAGGCTATGTGACCATGGCTAGGTTTTCTTGCATATCTCATACACTATGAAAGGTATCAAGCGGAAAAACAAAATTTGAGTTGAAAAAGTTGTCTCTTAAGAGTGATTAAAAATTAGGGGCACAATCTTTTTGAAAAACTTTCATAAGTTACTAAACTTTCAAGATAAAAGATAGCAAACACATAACAAAATCAGTACATGCTGAAATAAAGGGAAACTATCCTGGGTTAAGGAAACTCTTCCTGTTACACTTATAATAGACTGGCTGTGTTTTTACGTGACTTTTAGCAAAATTCCAGCAATATCATGGCGAGGTGTTGCCAAAATTGGGCTTCACACATTGTACCCACATGGGGAATTAAACCTGGGCCTTTGGCATGACAAGCAAATGCTTCAATCATTCAGCTACCCCTGTGACTGCCCCTAGTTTAAAGTAGTGACAACAGAACAGACTATCAGGCTCTGGTGTGTCACTCACCCTTTCTCTCATGAGTTCCACTCTCTCCTTGAGCTTGGGGACGACAGCGTTTGGCGGTAGGCCCTTCTCCAGCTGCAGGACAGACTTTGAGTACCTGAGAGTCGTATTGGTCATCATCTCAGGATCCAAGGTCTCGAACGCCGACTGAAACACAGGCATGCACAAATAACTCCACAAGTGTAACCTTCATCATGTGAGTGAACAGGGTAAAGTGGTTTTTTTCTTTTTAACTTGTCTGCCAAAGTGATCTGCTACAGGGCTGACTTCTATGTCATGGTGAAAGTCCACAAGGAAATGTCCTGTGTCCTTTTACTCATCCCAGACTATCCGACTGACGTTAATTTTGAACACTGGTGTTTGTTGTGTAACGCCGAAGTCTGTAATATTTCAGCTACATGACGATAGTTCATAAATAATCGAGTCAAGAAATAAACCAGCGACTGACAGAAGGAACAATGATCCATATCATGGGGTACAATGACTGCAATCAGCAAAGCGACGGGCTACTCGATACTTGTGACAATAACCAGGGATACTGGTGACCTATTCTAATCTGGAAATTACCAAATAAAATTCCAGATGAACTTCCCTGCATAACCATAACATGTTTCAATACAAAGTAATCAATAGCATGTCAATTTCGTGGTGAGTGAAATGTACACTGCTTCCACTGCTGAGACTTACACTCGTCCATTCCTCCAGCAGGATGTCCCACTCGTCTATGGCTGTCCACAGCAGCTCCTTCAGCTTCAGCTCAGCATACGCTTCCTCCAGAGCATCAAACTTGGTCACCTCAACCTGTAACAGTGAGTGAGTGAGTGAGTGAGGGATGGAGGGATGGAAGGAGGGTGAGGTAGGGAACAGGATCTCAGTTACATGTTGAGTGTCAGGTATGTGGGAGGAAAGTCCGAACTGATGCAGGTCTTTGTAAACACGGTGAGTGATTTTCCGATATGTCTCTATAATAAAGTGGGAATTTGGGCAATGTAGTTGATACGTGCGCACAGAATGGACAGTTAGACTGAATGTAGGTTTTGAAAATATCTAACTCAAAGTTACTCTTATTGCAGCCCATTGAACATCAAGTCCAAGCCAGACAGATGCAGTGACACAGTGAGTACCTTGAAGTTCTTCTGGTAGGACTTGTACGTGTAGGCTCGTTTCTGTAGATCCTCCATCTGATTGAGCAGCTTGGTGAGCACCTGCTTCACCCTGTCTGTGTCTGAGTTGACGTCCAGGATGATGGGGTTCTACAACAGACGAGGCTGGCAGTTAGATACATACCGTGGTCCTTCCGACTTCTTCAACAGTTCTCATAAACTTCAGTCCTTGCAACCTAGGGACTGGTAATTTATGGAAAATGGTGGTTAAGAAACTTAGGAACCGTTACTAAAGATGGAGCTTGTGCATATCCCTTCCCAAGATCCTTTCCCAAGATAGTGGAAGGTATCCAGTATTCGTTGTCTAGCCACTCCCTTATATTTACTAAAGGTGAAGTGTTTCAGGCAATTTGACCAAGAAGTGTGTGGCTAAGCAAGGTTGACAGTGTTGGTTACCTGGGCCTCCTGCTTGATTTCCTTCACCTCCTTCGTCAGCTCGCCTATATCCTTGTCCAGGTGGGTACAGAACTTGTCAATGTTGGCATCCCTCTCAGTCAGACACTTGTCTATTGCATTACGGACATTGGTGATGGATGGGCCTAGAGTCTGTACACAAATATATCACAATAAACTTCACACATAATAAGAGAGAAGCATCATGAAAACCATCTTCCCAAGACAAGGGAGTTCACTGACTCCAGGTTCCACCCTTGCCGAACTAGTTAGGCTGGAATTGTGTGGCTTGACTGTAGTTCCACTGTCCTACCCACAAAGGAACATGAAAAACATGAAAAGACGTGCAAAATATGTCAACACCCAGTTGAAGGTACACATGCACATTGTCATTCAGTCTGCACGTTGAAATCCATGTTTTCAAACATGATGTAACTCCGGAATTCCAGCCCAGTTTGGCAAAGGTGGAAACTGGATTTTTATAGTCAGTTTACTTGCTTGCCTCGGGAAAAGGGATCAAATCTAAAGATACATAAAAAATGTATAACAGAGGCCCTGTTGAGGTGCCTTAAGTTTATGCAAGTGATCCACAAATATCAAATTTCTTGCAAAGTAAATCACTTTATATTCTATGTACATACACAATTACAGAAAACAGCAGATAAGAGTGTAAGACGATCCAACTCGTGGAAATATTTCATAAGTATTTCAAATTGAAATCTTGCCTGATAGACAGCAAAGTCTTCTGGTGGTGTTGGTACTTTGTACTCGTCAATCAAGTCATACATATCCTTGACAACCATTGCCTCCTTCTCCAGGGGTTCAATCTGAAATATACAACACAGAGTAACATTGACAACTGTTAGAAAAGGAAACTTCCTGTTAAATACTTTCATATTAAATTTGCTCTCTTTACATTAAACTAATTTTAACAATGTCTGCACTGCAAGAAACTGAAATCAATTTGGTGATGGACATGTAAGTTTGCAGTTGGTACTGTAGGGTGGGTGTCTTTGCATTACAATTTATAACAAAAAAGTGCCCAATAATAATCTACCCCAAAGATGGAAAATTAATTTCGCCCATATTGGCAACGGTCATGATATTTCAGATACAGAAGGAACTTTTTTAGTCATATCCTCCATCAATCTTAGCCTCTGCACTAGACCCATTCCTCGCCATGGCTTTGTTTCCATAATCTAAATGATGTAAACAAGATGATGTCCAAGAGAGTGTTTGTGCCCCTACCCTGACTTGGATCTCGTCCAGGAATGTGAGACAGTGGACGAACTCCAGGGTGGTAGTGGGTGTGGTCTCCAGCTTGAACTGCGCGTCCTGTAGCTCCGCGATCAGCCGGTCAACCTCGCTCTTAGCCAGGATAGGCAGCATGTCATTGATCACCTGAAATACACAACATGTCACTAATCACTTGAATATACAGCTTGAATTTTAATTTTGAAATAGAGTTTTTATATTTTATTAACAGCATATTTTCAATTTTACAAAGAATTTATATTACTTGTGTACACAAAAAATGTTCTCTCACACATTTCAAGTTTGCAGTAGCATTGCCTGAACTGTTTTCATTCATTTTTTAGCTTTATAGCGTTTGGAAAAAAAATAGTAAATTCGTTCATGAAAGTGACAATTTATATCTATCTTATCCAACACCCACAAAAATGTGGAACAAATTATTTTTATTCTTGTATTTATTTTGGAATGTTAACAACATCTAACACAATAAAATGGAAAAACTATGTTCCTTCTTCAAGACAATCAAAAGTAACAAGAGTTATCTCCCCTACTGCATGTCCCAAATCAATATTTCATGTCAAACAGCAGTTAACTGTAACTTTAATCAAACTGAGAATCTCTCGGCACCCACTTTAAAACATTTCACTTTTCAGCAGGCCTCTTCACCAACAGACAAGACAACGCAATCAATGACTGATCGTTATCAGTGCCAACGTGCGTGCCTAAACCGGCCATTAATTATACATTGCTACAAGTACAGAGAGGGAGCATGACATGCTTCAGTGTGGAAGTGCTATCACAGCCACAATCAGCACACTCTCACCAAGGCATCTATTATTCATGCTGCATTCACAAATACATTTGTTTGCATTTACCAAATAGGTACCGTAGCTCACCTTTATCTTGTGAGATCATGCAACACAGATGTACTTCCTTATTGGTAGATGTTATACATTTCTACACTCGATATCAGTGTATGTTCTTTTTAGTAGCATCTTTCTTGAGTTTGCTTGACATTTTAATGTAGTATTTATAATCTAAATTTTGCCAGCCAAGGACAAGATATGAAGGATAAAATGGGTCCTTATCATAACTTATTGCATTATAAGAAATGAGCAAACTTTTCAGAAAGATATGTTATGTTCATATGAATAAGAGTAAAATAAGAGATCTTTTCCCACACTGTATTTGTCTGAACTGAACTAAATTCTCCCTGTCGTTTGAAATGTTCAGAGAATCTCTCATAACAATATAACATGTTTATCATGAAATTACATATTCCCCTCACTCAGTGAAGTATTTTGATATATGTGACCAACCAAGAGATAAGGGACCTCCTGGGTGAAATATCACATTGTGACTTGTAGTTTAGGACCACAAAAATATAATTCACAACCCTCAATTCCTATTTGTTACAGAGATACATCTCATATGGACTCATTTTCTGCAAAGTCCTATTTTCAGACTTATAACTGTTAATGTAATTAATAACTGCAGTTTTTAGATATAATATCTGATTAATTGAAAGGAGACATTTATGCTGAAATGTTCTGAATTACTATTTTTATTACATTACAAACTATCGAGAGAAAATGAGTCCTTGCAGTCCTCACACATGGCGATTATTACTGAAGTAAGTTGACATCAAATGTCTTTCTTTATGACAGCACAATTGTATCCTAGCACCCATCAGGTCACATGTCTTGTTTGGGGAACAAGCTCTAGGGGAGTCCTTGTTTCCAAGAAAATACCAAAAGATCTCCCAAGTCGAAGTCCCTAAGACCACTAGTTTGATACAGGTGCAAATTTCCATAACTAAACCTTCAAAAAACAAAGGTCTGTGTAGGGAGACTTACATCCAGGCATCGGAGCGGTGACGGTATCAACTGATTCTTCATCTTCAGAGCATCCACCAACAACATTCCAATTGGTCGCTTAGCAACAATACTCTCAGCCATTTTGTGCTGACTATGATACTTCTCAAGATGTTCAGAGAAAAATGCCACATCTGGGAATGAAAAATAAAATATTCATCAATCAAAAATCGCTGGTACCTTACTGTAGGACAAGATGTTTGCTCATGTAAGTTCAAAAGTGTGACGTCGGATAAATAAGTTTGGGGGTAGGTCACTAATGTAGGTAAAATGAGATGCTGTACAAGCAAAATCATGCCAGTTGAAAGACCTGCCTTGCATGGTGTAATGTTTTCTGTCTTTCCTTGTGAATGAAGATGTCAACAGTTTCACAATTAAGGCTTAGAGGCTGTGTTGGTGTATGCCTCAAAATTGATGGCATTATTTTGTATCATACGTTTGAACTGGCTGTCTACTGTCTGGATTATTAAGGCAAATGAATATTAGAAAGTGATCACAATGTTTACGTGTAGAAAAGCCATGCCCAACCCAATACCCAAGACAGCAGGACAAATAGTATCTTCTCACAACAAATCCTTCTCAAGAACCAACACTGACCATGTTCCTGAGCTCGCACACTATCCAGGTCCATGCTCTCGTTCTCCTTGTAGAACTCCCTGTACGGCTCGAACGTGTCGGCGTACTGGCTGGCTGCGTTGAAAGCTGCTGATATGGCGTCCTGCATACACAACCAGGTTTATACACATTCTTCACATGTGGAGGATTCAAGCAAATGAAACATAGCTGAACAAGTGAGGGAATGAATGTTGTGTAAAGCCACAATCAGCAATATTCCAGATATATATATATACATACATCAGCTTGTCATCAGGCTGTACCGGACAAACCAGTGATTGAGAGCTCCACGCAAGCAGCAAAATCACAAAGACTGACCTACCGAGCCCATTTAACTGGCTCTGACAGTACCCCAGTATTTCAAACTCAGATTCAGAATTCTCCTACGTCTAATCAGGGATTCAAAACAATGGCCAGCTAATCCTGTAACAGCTAAGAAACACAACTCTGCACAGCAAGTGTAGCAATGGTGATTTAGTTGAATATATTCTCACCCTGATGCTGTAGATGATGGTCTGGAGGTGTTTGTCATCTTCGAACATGGTGCCTAGGCTTGGACCATCACCGCAAGTCTTCTCCTCGAACTTGTTGTTGATTATTGGTCTGACAAAATACACCAATGTCTTAGTAGGGCATTAGGTAGAAACATATTAATCAGATGGTTTTCATCCCCCCCTCACCAATAAACAGAAAGCTCAAATCATATTAGTGTCCCCATGTACAAAGTATACTGCTCCGTGGGCTTCTTTTAATTGTTAAAATACACTGTGTACTTCATTCATCCTACCAAAATGTCAAACTTCATGTAAATGACATCTGTCATGTGTCAGTTAATGTACACAGATGCCTTGAAGTT